GTTAAAGAGAGACATTCAGATCATGGAATTTGTACGGCAAAATGCCGTCAAGAAAGGTAATGGACTTGGGAGTGAAGCACACATTTGAACCTCATGACCTCTATGTAGTTACTAAGATTTACCCTTTCATTTGTAAACGGATAAAATGACATGTAGAGCTACTTGAAGTCATTGCATTAAAACCAAACAGGTTGAGGGTGCAATCACAAGTTCGCTCAGCTCGAAGCATGACGGAGCAAGAACAAAATCGGTGCAAACATTTTCGTAGTCATGACATATAAATTATAGTATTTACTTCCCTGGTTGGTTGAGATGGCTTCTTCTGCAGGCACTTTAAAAAAGATATGGTATCCACTTTTGAGTAACTAGTGCAGAAGGAGTTACTCCTAAGCCTTTCAGAACACAAGTGCCTAAATGAACTAATATATTCTATTTCACGTTACTCGGGTCCAGGAAAGGCAGTTTTACGTTCTAGAGTCTACGAAAACTTCCCAATATTGTGGATTTGAAACATAAGGAACCCACAGTTCCTTGTACCCATCACCTGAAAAGTCAGGATTGGAACACTGAAATTATAGGTGGGTTAGACAAATGAAAGCCCTACTTCATGCCTAGTTTCTGTGTAATTGCTTCTATCTGTTTCTATGATTACGTTATTGCCAGGCCAAGTATTGGTTTGTGGTTTCGCCACTCTTTTAGTGGAGGATGTCCCAATAGATATTACGATGGAACTAAATTACAGTGATGATCATTCAAATAACTTCGGTACTGATATGTCGTATCTTTTCTCCCTAGCTAGGACTGACTATCTCCGAGGGCATCACAAGAAAATTCCAAAACCGCGATCAAATCAACTTAGTGTGGATCTATGTTCCTCCCATCGTGTTGTCAACGACTGGAACTCCTTACCTCACTACTTAAGTAGTATCAGTACCTGTCAACGCGTTCAAGAAGACACTAGATCTTCACAGAGATATCTTCTGCAAGGATTAACACAGGCCAATTGGCCTAATATCCTTATAACTGAAAACTGAAATTCATTTACGGTATGAACTAGATTGACTTGGCACGGTACAGGTAGTCGAAATGCGGTGTATCACTTAGATGATGGTTATTTGCTTCCAGTCGAGATATTTTCCTGGTAGACACGACTTTTTTGTTTGACACATCTGAGCTGAAACGAAATTGCTGAAATCCTACTTGGAACTTGCACAGTTTCAAGCCGTGACTTTTCGAACCAGCAAATTAAGAAGTTTTCCTCAGTGTCAGTGTAAAGATAAGGTTACATGAGTCAGTAGGTGATTTAGGTGATGCAGATACAAGACCAGGAAACTACCTTGTTGACTTATTGTGGCATATATGATATAACTACGATTTTTCTGTATTTTAGTCTCAAATGCCTTGAGAAATTGTTTTGGGTGAAGAGTACTAAAATGGCTCTCTCCTGAGTTGTGCAGATGGAAGAGAAACTTCCGCTTAACTGGCCTCTGCGTCTACAGTCCGTGAACTACCACCTCTTGTGATTGTTAACCTGTATAAAATTGAACAGAGAGCAAAAGGTGACGGTTAAAATGTGAAGTTTCAGTTAGTTCTAAGCAGATCCCACCCATATCTTAATTGAGTATCAGGCCGGCTTCTAAAGCATGCAGACGAAGAAACCTTAATCACTTATTCAGGAAGAGCATTCGAGGGTTTAACAACTCTTAGAGAATAGTTGTGTCTGATATCTAACTTGCATTTTAGACTTTCTGCATGTATCCTCCAAGATTAGTGTTGAGAATAAGATTCAATAAGTGACAGGGTGGGTATGTGGGGGTTCTCAACATGTCGTGAGCCATTATCAAGTCTTCTGTATATAGATCACACACAAACGGTAGTTCTTTATGAATTTCTAACGTGAGTCCTCGAACAGATTTGGTCGATCGTCCCTGAATGTGTTTTAAACCTGATTTGTCTTTCTGCAGAGAATGGGGAATGGCGATAGTCTCAAACTCCAGGTGAAGTCATAAGAAGCTGCGGAAAATTTAGTGAGAACATTGTCCGGATATTCGTCCAAGGGTTGCTAACCCCGGTTTTCTACAAAATGCGATTTTGTCACATTTTTAAATCCGTCAGCAACGCTTCAAATTCCATGCCGCTGAAGCTATATACGTTACATGCATCATATTTTACGTGTACAATCTTGCATTTTTCAGGATTAAATGGGAGCCCATCAGTGACTGCCCAGTTTAAAGTTTGGTTAAGTCTTCCTTTAGAAAAACACTGCCTTTCTCACTTGTGATTTCTCTTCGTAGTTTAACATCGTCGGCGAAAAGAAGGATTTCGGAAGCCTGTTGAGGAAAGTTGTTTGTGTATATTAGGAAAACCACAGGCTCCAGTACTGAACCCTGAGGAACTCCACTAAGACATTCTGTTTTTTCGGAGATAGAGAAACTCACTCAGTCTAAATAAACGACCTTGTACATATTCGGACAACCAGTCAGTGAGCGGTAGTCTGATCCCGAATAATTCGAGTTTATCAAAGCAGTCACGATCAAACGCCTTAGAAAAGTCTAGGTTAATAACATGAACTCGACTTCGATGGTCGACAATACTAGTCCATCTATCTACTGCAGTAAGCAGATTAGTAATCCATGTTGTGGCGTGGAGAGGTTATTTGTCATAAGGTGATCCTTTAGTCAATCATAGATTAACAATGCCATTACTTTGGAAGGTATGGATAAGAGCGTCACCGGTCTGTACCTTTCGGGTTGCTTCATTACCTCTTCTGGAAATTAGCGTTATGTGGCCCAACTTTCAGGGATCGGGCATTTTCTTTTGAGTAAATATTTTACTTAAAGGTTCTACCGAGATTGACGCTCCTTTCCTCAGTATTGCCAGATGGGTTTTTATCTGATCTCGGGAAGGTGTCTTTTGTGAGCAGCAACAGTTTGCGCTGTAATAACTCAACACCTAAGTCAACAACCGAGAGTCCTACTTCGTAAGTCGGATATCCGTAAACTCCTGAGTAGGTGGACGATGAAGAAAATATTTGGAAATACCAATCAGCTAGGAGATCACCCGCTTCAGTGTCGCTACTAGTCAGTTCATTGGGCCCTAGTAGTTGAGAGACTCCCTCTTTAGCCTACCGGAATGATACAGCATAGCGTAACAGACTTCTTGGGTTAGAAAAAACATGTTTGTAAGCCTAACTTGATGCGTTGCCGATCGTCTGTCGATGCCTTCGTACATATGACTTCTGTTTGAATAATCTGTATATGTATCCAGTACCATTCCTCTTGTGTCCAGCCTACTTTTTAACTGAAGTAGTTAGCGAGTTGCTTATTACCTTAGGTGACTTGGAGCGCTCCGGCGTTGAAAGTTGACGGTGGTTGGTCGAGTGCATGATTTTGTCAAGTATGAATCTCCAATGGGTATTCACATCCTGCATATAAACACCATGCTGTACATCAGCAGACGGATTCCTATAAGTCACTGTCATCAAGCACTTTGTTGTCTTGAGCAGCTTAATGGGACATCAGGTGGACTCATTCAATTCAAATCTTGAATGTAGATTTGGTGAGCTGTTAGAGTGGAGCTAACATATAGTGCCACCCGATCCACCTTACCAGCCTTCCTGCCGTTGCAAAATAGTGTGGTGTCAACAGCTGCCAGCTCCTGATCTGTAATGTCAGGAAAAACTCGTCTCAGTAACACCTATAACATGAGCATAAGTGTCCTCACTTAGTTCCTACAGTTCATCGAGTTTATTCTGTAAACTTTGTGCATTTGCATCGATACACTTTATGCTATCTACTTAAAACACACTTCCTGAGCCCTCTTCATTGTTTAATTAGCTGGCTAAACCCTCAGGTGTTGAAACTGGGAACCTGCCTAGGTGGAGCTTACCAGAATAGCGTATCCCACCCCCATCCCGCTTTTGTACCCAAGCGGTCTTCCAGAGATAAAACCGGCTCCAATTTTTTCTGTTTTCATTGCAGCCTGTCGTCCTACAACCTGTCAGACTGCATGCAGACTCCAGGTGGCAGGCGATTTCTGTTCGCCCTGAATGCCTCCAATGTGCATAATGCCATTAAAGAGACCAAAAAGACCACTTTAATCAGCCTTGGTCTGGAGTTGTCATCTTCTTAGGGCATTCTTGAGACGCTCTATTTTATTCCGATAAGGTTCATAGTATTATTATTATTATTATTATTATTATTATTATTATTAAGGAATTTCCACTCGCAAGAATTGTAGTGGATGTTATCACTTCCTGGGTTTTCAGATAGGCCTTGTATTATCAGGTTCCTCCCCCTAAAGTATACCTCACGACTGTCGCCTGGGAGTTTTTTTATTAGGTTCTCGCAGTGTCGGATATCTGCCAGTATCCTTATTTCGCCTTCAGCTTTCAGCACGTGAGACGCTAACAGCACATCCTCAACATCATCTAAGTTCGAGAATGTTAACCTTTAGAGCCGGGGCTTATAGCTAATTATTCGATCGGAATCTCGTGAGACCCTAGTTGAAGCTATTGGCTTAATGTAGTTCAGCTTAAGTTTGCTACACGTAATTCCCCACAGAACCCTATCATCCTAATACTAAAGGCTATATGAGAGATCGGGGCTATCCATCAGGTTCATGATAACCACAGAATCATTCTGGGCAATGGTTTGTTTTATCAACTGTTGACACTTGGGCGTTTGTTGTTGAACTTTTTTTCTTCTTCCACTTTGGCCTTGTTCGTAGATAACTCATTCTCTTGTTTGACAAGCTTGTGACTCACGCGGTCTGCTGGCGATTTGACTTCCTTGCAGGCCTAGTTTTGAATTTCTTCATTCTCATATTATCCCACTCAAGCTTGTTTCCGGTGCTTTCTGCCTTCCGAAACCCGATAGGTGTGACGAGTTGAAAACTGACTGCTTTTATTTTATATGACAAATGTCCTTTCTCCATCTTGAGCATCTTTACTTGGTATGACCGTTGCATTTTGTGCCTCATCTGTTGACGATAATATGCTACTTAAGGATTGTAAGACAGCTGTTGTTATTCCCCTACTGAGATGCACCATGTTCTCCGTCAAACTGTTTCCCCGCCCTTGTCGAATGAATTAAACATTTTTCCGCCAATCGGTTTTCGAACTCCAAAGCCCTCGTACCTTGGCGCTGATTTCGAACTTTCCAGCTTCCCATTCCCCTTTTCTCGATTTGTTATCAGCTTTTTCTGATATCCTTTAGTACGTTGATGATGTTCTCAAAACAAATTTCAGCTCAGGTCTACATAAGCAGCAATATCACTTACCACCAGGCTTGCTGAGTTTGGTGTTAAGTTTGTGCAAGCGTTATGAAAAACCATCCGTTGCAGGTATCACACTACATACTAACCTAAACAGGTTGACAGCAGCCCTGCCTCCTACATATCTGCTGTTTGACAACCACTGTCATAAAACGTATAACGAAGGGGAAGAAATCCAATACAAACACTCTAGAAAACTTGAAAATGAGCATAAACCTTAGCGTTAATAGATTCAACCAAACTTGGAGCCTAAGTGAGGCCTCAGTCCCATCATAAAAACAGAAATATACGCAGAAATATGGTAGACTTGTCGAACTTAAAGCTCGAAAAGAATACTCTTGCTAAAAAACCAGAGCTTTTGTTGTGTTATTGCACTGAAAAGGCTAAAATGTTAAATTACGGCAAGATTACATTTCTTTTCGAAAAGCTTGAGGGTGCGTAGTTTATATCGAATTCTGCGTTAGCCGTTGCATTTTTCTACATGCACTTATCTGTGAAAATTAATATATTTCATCGAATACGTGATATCGGTAAATTGAAGCAGCCTGGGGAACTAGGCTTTCAGTTGGAAGTACGACTTTGTCATCGTATCCCCATCATAGCGTACCAATTTGTACTGTATCAGTAAATGCTTTTCATCTTACCACTGTTCAACAGACCTAGCATGATAGAATCTTAAAGGAACAAGGGTTGCATCCCGTATAGCTCATTGTCATAGTGATATGCAAGCCAACCACCACGTAAAGATAGCACCTATCAATCAGGAATATCAGCTCATAGGAAATTGGTTGTTAGCTGCTTCCGGCTTATAGAAGCTGTGAAAAATCGTTTTCATTTTGGGACAGTAATGTAGAATACAATCCTTTGATTTTTCTTGTTAGAAAGTGACAATTTTTTGGTGACTCAAGGTTTATGGGTGGGCATGACAGCAATATATATTGTTATAAGTAGGAAGTTAGTTAATGTACATGTTTCGACTCATGGAATTGAAACTTGAAAATGCATTAAAAAGTTGTATTCAGAACGTTGTTTCGGAAAAGTCGATGCTTTTTATATTTGTTATACTTCTATTTTCAGTTATATCCGGCACGTAATGTCCATTGGCAAGCGAATTGTCATACTCCATTGGCTTAGCAATTTCGAGCTTTCCTTTGCTGACTAAAATTCCTATTTCTGTGCTGTTTACCAAGTGCAGGTTTAAACTCTGCAATAATTATTCAAGCTACTACATTGTCTTTACTTCCTAAAACCTATCTTAATCCTGCACGTGGTTAGGGATTTAGATGGTCTTTTGCTAATATAACTCAGTTACTTTCTAGAGATAATATAGTTTACCTTATTATTCACTGTAAACGATGTTGGTATTTAATTCTGGCCACTGGTCATTTCTAGATACAAAGGCATGTCAAAATCCTTGTTAGTTTGAACTATCCCTTCTCTAGATATCCAGACATCCGAATTTTTACTGGCTCATGGTTCACACTATGTACAGTCTTGTGTAGTCACCTTTGGGTCGTCATGGATCAGGTGATCCTATTTTAGTAGATCCCAATAACTAGATTTTAAGGAGGTTGTAGTGTTTCTGCGTCATGGAAATTATGGTGCCCTTCTGGTAATAAATTGGAAGGGAACAGTTTGTAATGCAGCAGGTGGTCATGTAATTGTCTCAAATTTGTAGACACCATGCTGCTCACAGAGTCTTTCAGATACTGTTATTCGTTCTCCTATAAAAATCATTCACACTGAACATTCATGATATATAGGTTTCTAAAACACCTCTTCGTGATATCGTGCTTTCAAAATTTAGGCTAGCACATGATTTCCAGAAACCTTCGTGTATTAATGAAAGATAAGTTTATCGCTTTGTCAGTCTTTTCACACAGATCGAATAAGACAGATATAATATTACTACTGTGGTCAAAATCCGTAACGTCTGTTATTTCCAACGGCCACGTCTCAACTGTATGGTAGCACAGTGTGAACTGTAGTGCAGTATACTCGTTCTTTGATGTGGAGTTGGATATCTCGTGAATGCCGTAAGTGACATAAGTTGACGTGTACCAAATAGGCCCTTAGTAACAGAGCTGAGATTTCGTCAGCAACCAACCCTTTCGGTCTGATTTAGCTCTTCAGTTTACTCGGGCGTTTATCGCACACTACCGCATCATTCTCTCCTTAAACAGGGAGTAGTTGTGCTGCACTCCCAAAGCATCATCTTACATTAGACATATATAAAGCACCTATAGTTACGTCTAATGACTTACATTTTTAACAGAGCACCTTTGTAAAATGTTAAAAATGTTTCTTCTTATTTTAGCATGCACGGGTACTCTTTCATTGATAAGAACTAAATTATGCTAGTTTATTTTGGATCTAAGGTTTTGAAATATCTTGGGTTGAGAAGACATACCATTTTTTGGAGCTATTCACGATCGTTTTCCGAAAAGTCAGATGTAAGCGATCCTTCAGAAAAGTGTGTTGGTAAGCACAACTAATTTTTAAATAAAACCTCAGTTTCTGACTTTCCACTTCTGGCTGAGGCTGTGAATACTAAAAATTATGAATTAGTGGCCAAGATTGTTATGGAACAGGTAATGGGTAAGGACATTGGCTAATTTTTGTTTGTTTAAAGGATCCTTTTGAAGTCAAACGCATACGAATGTTTCAGACTAGTTCAAAAACTTCTCCTAATCGTATTCCCTCACAATCATCCAGACGAATGGTTGGATGTATATGTAAGTGAAAATTTGTGGTAATTTTGTAGCGTGAATTTCCAGTTTGAGAAATTTTGCCGTTCTAAATGTCACAGTGTATTTCATTATCCCGTCTAACTGTGGTTCACTAGTTTGGGCAGTTCACTACTAACCAGTTGGTCACGCTTTTGGAACACAGTTCCATTCACTGAGGTGTTGGCAACCAGGTAGTATCATTAGCCCTTACGAGGTAGGTGTAGCTCATTGCCTACTGCACAAATGTGCATGTGGTTGCTGAGTACGTTTTGATTCTAGCAGAAATGTAACCTAGGGTCATTATTTTAATGAAATCGAAGTAGATATGAAATGTAACTAATTCTTAAGGTTTTATCTTATTTAATTCTGAACGATACCACCACAGTTGACGAATCTTTATATCAAAGTGGTTTTATCACGGACCAATGTCAGCCACGGAACTGTTAAAGACGTATCGAAGTTCAATGGAGCAACAGATACTGTTTGTTAAAAAAGTGCAACCGATAGTGGTAAAAATACTACAACCTACAAAATGGTATCCATTTACGAATAACCTCTTGTTTTGCATCTCCTTCCGCACTGTTCTTTTCCTTTATATTTCTGTCGAATAATATGTATTCTCTCAGCCCGATTCCTCGTCATCGACCGTTATCACTACTACTTATATGCATTTTTAAAAGTAGCTTTCTCCAGATTAAGAGGATACTGCACAGGTAGGTGTTTAGGTCTCCTTATCAGTGAGCACCCACGATACTGTTGAGCATCTTCCAGGGTCGTTACCATTCAGCCATTGGATTGAAATCTAATGACGCTGTTATTACAGCTGTCAGTTGGCGAAATAGCACAAATTAGATGACCCCATAGATCATGACTTCTCATTAGAACTTCAGGTAATCCATCACAGCAAATCACTAGTAACCAGTGGATTGTAAGTGAATGTCCTAACAAACCTAGGTTTGATTCTTCAACTACCTTGCAAGTAACGTAATTTGGTGAAAACTGCACACCATTTTTCATGTACAACGATTGTATCGTTTAGTGACGTCAGTTTGCTGAATACATACAGGTAGTTGCGCACACCTTGGAGGTCGATGTCTTGCTGTTATATGAAAGAGAAAGTCGGTTAGATTTGCTCCTTCATAGAACTGGAGAGATATCTGTTTAAGGCCGGCCACAGGACGTTTTTGGGAGTTTCGGATTCAGGCTTAATTTTTTATGTCCAGACTAAACAAACCACCCCGGCAACATCACCAGTTAGCATCATAAAATGCTGATTGTGCACGAGAAGTACGCTGCTGTTGTTGATCACAGTAAAGCTAGCAGTACAACTTTACCTTTGTAACTTCAATTCGGCGTAAGTCACTTACACTGTCACTGCATTTAGTACTATCAATATCTAACAGACGTTTCCTGTCACGGTAGAACCTCAAGGGTGAATCGCTGAAGCATTATTTTTGAGATTTTCATGGGTGATGTGTGATGTCTAAGACGAATTGTCGGTAATCGTTTTGAGATCATCAAGAGGTAAACACAAAAACTCTGTCGCAACCTCCACTAAGTGTGTTTCGATCTGTTTCACAACGTAAACAATTTCGTCTACTTTAATATCATTCTTTCTACCCAGTTGTTCCCTGTATGCTTCAATAAAGTGTGGCAACCTGAACCGATGCACGTTTTTGCGAGATTTTATGTTAGTTTTTTCTATTTCTGTTTATCACAAAACATCTTGGAGTGGACCGTATACACATTGCTATAGTTTTGTTCCACTCTGACAGAAAAGTTTCTTTGGATATCCATTTGAAAGGACAAGGAGAATTCACTGTGATTCTGCGATCGATAAAAAATTAAATTATTTCAGTTGGCACATTCAGACAATGGATATTCAGATGATTTCACTAAAAGAAATATGAAAAGAAGAACGAATAAGCCAATCATCACTTGTTTCAATAAGCAAATATCGATGAACGTCCAGTTTTAGGGTGATTGTCTAGTCGGAGTTATTACAAACGGACATCGACACTCGTTGAAGAAGGCGCTTTCTGCAGCCACTCTGAGACTGACTTTCACGAACAGGTGTGCCTTACCTTCACGTCTAAAAGATAGCATTTCTCCCTTATCGTTGTTAGTGCATATTTATTAATTCAACTGCTCCTCTAGAGACAGTTATTCGGGTCATACAAAAGAGCATCTCTTAGCATAACTTGGCAAAAGAAGGGAGAAAAATTACCATCTCTATTGAATTTCATTTAATTGGAAGTGGTCACAATGCAGGCATTGTCTTCTTTTTCAGTTATCCAAAAGATATCAAGTCGAATGTCACAGTTATTCGGAGTTTATCTTCTTCAAACTTACTGAGCTACTACAGTAGAAATAATGAAATCTGACCTTTGGGTACTATCCATAAAGCTAACAGTCAAACAATTTAGATACACTGTGCGTCAATGGACGTTCGCCTATTTTGTATTAATCTGATTAGACCTTTTTCATCTTTATGTTTCCACTATGATTGCTCACTGTCTATCATGATTTTGAATCGTAATGCAATGGTAACTGATATTCTGTGCACCCGTTATTCCTGTAACCCATTTACTAACCAGAATCGTGTTAAATAAATTGCCAGGCGTTTTAATCCCAAAAATTGCTGAAAGGAAAGATAACTATCAATATTCAAGTCTATGTAACCACTCTATGTGTATTCAAGTGACTTTAAAGGCCACCCTAACAACGGTTAGATAGCCTATTACGTTTCACTATTTCACAGAAAACTACCGTAGCGGAAATACTGAAACTTGATTGGTTACCTCAGCACTTGTGAGTGATTTTGAAGACCACCCTATCAGCGATTGAAACAACCAATTAGATTTCCCTATTTCAATTGCATAGATAGTTTTTTCATAGAATACAGAACTCTGGTTGGTTATTTCAGTGGTTGTTAGGGTGGACAATAGAGTTACTCCTAATTATTGTCTTTTTACTACCACCATGGTTATATTGCGTAAACCCTAGGAGTGAGAATCTTATCGAACTAGTGCTGCTTAGCTTTTTACTCATGGCTTTCTTCTGTCCTTTTAATTTGGGTTCAACGGTGAAATAAATTCCCAACCACTGCATCTAAGCTAAAATCACTAGTCTGATTCTTAATTAGCATCCTCCTCCGTATCAGATTTATATTAAGGAAGCCAGATGCCGACTGGATGGGGAATAATCCAGAGGTAAACTCATTTTACGCAGTTTGAGTGTACACATATAAGGTGTTAACGTTTGTGTTGTTAACTTGTCAATTTTAGAAAATGTAATCCTTGCATAACCAATAGTATTATTTTGATCTTTTATTTCGTAGGTGAACCTGAAGCTAATTCTATAAATTGGTTGGAATTAGAAAAAGGTGATCCAGTCCAGTGTTATTGTGGACATTGGTTTCAACTAGTTAATTATGAAGATTATTTCAGTATGACCAATAAATGAAACTGCGTTTATGGAATGTATTTCCCATTTGTAAAAGAAATAAAATATAGCGTCATAAAATTTGGCACACTTCATAGCTTTTAAATAAGTCAATTCCTGTTGTAGGTGATTGTCATCATCATTATCATCAACATAGGACCAGGAATTACTGCGTAGCCGTCCGAGTAGCCACAACTCATATCAGTACATCAAGTAAAAAGGCAGTGAAGCGGAAGATGAAGAAAAAAAACAGTGAAAAGAAATATAAAGTACTAAAAGAGAGAAAGAAGGATGAGAAAACGGTGAGATTTGGTATAGCGTTAAGATGAGTATAATGTGTGTATACATCTGCTCCACTGACTTCGATTCAAAGCCATATCACCTAGAGTATCCAACCACTGATGTCTCTTGTCCCGCGGACCCCAGTCAGCTAGTCTCCATCGCCCCACATAACTCAAACCAACAGTCAAAGACTTCATACATTATAAATGAAATGTATTTTGTAAAATCCCAATGAAGTAGAAAAATAAATTTCTGACGTTTCGCGACTTCGTGGAAATCGCTTCTTCAGAGAATAAAACCTGTACAAGTTATTATACATTGATGCCATGTTTTAGTCTGGCCGCCTCGAGCCTTTTTCCAGCCTGCACCTACTTCAGCCAACATTGTGTGACGAGGCAAATGGCAACTAGGCATGCATAACACGTGTCCCAACCATCTTAGTCGATGGAGGTTCACAACCGTGTCAACTGACTTACCTCTTCTCCCTAAAACTCTATACCTAACTTCGGCATTACTCACGTGGTAACACCACGGAATACAGCATGTACTACGAAGGCAACGGTGGTCAAACACGTGAAGTCTTCTCATGTCTTCCACCTTCACTGGCTATGTTTCACAGCCATACAGTAGGACAGAGTGGACTGCTGTGCAATACACGCGACCCTTAACAGACAAACGGATAAAACGTCGACGCCACAGATGGTGTAAATTGACAAAGGCCAACCGAGCCTTTTGTATTCGTGCTGAGATTTCATCGGCCACCAAGGCTGATCCTACTTCCCAGGTAAGTGAAGTCGTCAACACACTCAACAACTACACTCTCTATTGTTAGCCGCGGTGGGGCACCATTGAAGACCAATCCTGGAGCATCAATTTGCATTTGGGTGGTGAGAAACGCATCCCAAACATCCTCCACGTGTTCAGAAGACTCTGCATCAGAACTATGTCATCTGGGTATTCTAGGCCTGATAAAAATTCTCCTGTGATTAGATCAACGTCTGTGTAACCTGGTGACGACAGGGAGACCTACGTAAGAATATCTATGATAAAATTGAATAAGAATGAAGAGAGTGGGCACCCTTGACGGACACTACTCGACATGTACAGCTTCCCGGATATCTCACCATAGTCTCTAACACACAAGTGTTCGAGTAGAGAGCCTTCAATAAGGTGATGTACTTACTTGACATGCCTTTCAGTGAGAGACAATGCCGTAAGACTCCGTCGACGGAGTCGAAAGCCGCCTTCAGGTCGAGAAATACAGCTATTGTCGGTCGTCGGTAAGCGTGTCTGTGTATCAGAACCTGGCTCAGTGTGAATATTTAGTCGATACACCCGTGGCTAAGTCTAAAGTCTGCCTGGTTTTCTCGAGGTTGGTGTTCCCTAGCTCCACTCAGGCATTGAAGAGTTACAGAACCTAGAATTTTAGACACTATGTCATCATCATCATCATCATCATTATCAACATAGGACCAGGCATTACTGCGTAACGGTCCGAGTTGCCACACCTCATATCAGCACATCAAGTAAAAAGGTAGTGAGGTGAAGGATGAAGATAAGTGAATGCAGTCAAAAGAAATATAAAGTATGAGAAGAAAGGAAAGAGGAGTGACAAAATAGTGAGATTCGGTATAGCGTTGTTAAGATGAGGATAATGTGTGTATACATCTGCGCCACTGACTTCGGTTCTGAGCCATATCACCTAGGGTCTCCAACCACTGGTTCCTCTTGTCCCGTGGACCCCAACCACCTAGTCTGCATCGTCCTACATGGCTTAAACCAACAGTCAGAGACTTCATACATTGGTGCCATGTTTTAGTCTGGCCACCTCGGGCCTTTTTCCAGCCTGACACTATGTCCGTCAGGCTTATTCCTCTGTGGTTATCACAAGAGGATTTCTTGAAGACTGGGATAATCAGTGATTTAGACCAGTCAGAGGAGATCGTATTTGATTCTCATATACTGGTTAACACTCCCGTTAACCTGACTATGAGCACCTTACAACCATCCTTGTATACCTCAGGAGTTAGTCCGTCTGGTCCTGCCGCTCTTCCTCGTTTCAAGTTACCTACAGTTTTCTCGACTAGTTTTCTTCTGTAAGTATTGGGAAGCCTGTCTCAGTGTTCCATTCAGGATCCGATTGGATAGCGGGTGACGCAATGGTGGTTAGAGGCCAGTTAAACTGTTCCTCGAAGTGTTCTGCCCTTCGTTCCGGTCATCTCATCTGCGAGTGAATCTCATATCCGTTCTTCTCCGTTATTGTCTCACTAACCGCAGTTGACCTTTTCCTCCCAGTCTCGTAATAATCTAAATAACTGTGTACTGTTACCAATCGCCGCTACCTTTTCCATCTCTTTAACCCTCTTTGCCTATCACTGTTCGCGGTCGTTGCGTAAACTTTTTGTCAGTCTGTTTTTAAGTTGTGATGTCTCTTCATTGTACTCAGAACCTTCAGGAATGCGTTCACGTGCATCCATTAGTTCGGAAGAAGCTATTGATATCCACTGGCTTTTTTTAGCCACTCTTTCTGAGTCGGCTACGGTCTTCAGCACTGCTTTTACAGCAGACTGGAGATGGAACCAAGCTTCTTCTGGATGAGTGATAGTGTTCTGCTCACTGAAAGCGTCTTTGGTGTTTTCGTTATCGAGCTGCACTCGTAGTGGTTTTGTTGCCAAATATTTCCTACGTCCATTGAGACGCAAGCATATACGGGCTCGGGCCAATGCGTAGTCGCTATCCAAACACGTACTCCAGAAGAAGTGACAGTCTTCCACCGATCCTCTCCAGCGATGACTAATAGCAATGTGGTCTATCTGTGTCCATCGCTGAGTTGAGCTCAGCGGAAGCCGCGTCAGACAGTGTCTTTCTTTGTGTCTGAAACTTGTGCTAACTAAAAATAAGCTGTCATCTGAGCACAGCTGTAGTAGGCGATCACCGTTATCTGTTCGTTCAGCTGGGATTCTGAAAGTGCCACCTAAGTGCCTTTCTGCCTCACTCAGTCTAGCCACCTGTGCATTGGAGTCACCTACAACAGCCACCATATCTAAGCGTTTGGCTTTCGAAAGGAGGCTGGACAGTTTGAGGTAGAACTCGTCCTTCAATTCATCCAAACTGCAGTCAGTGGGTGCGTAAGCAGAGATTACAAAGAGACAAGGGCGAGTTTCACTACTCCTTTTATTTCTCACTGAGCCGTTCAGCCGGACAGTGCAGAGGCGACTATCAACTTGGATCCAGTATAGTAGTGAGTTTTCTGCCCTAGTGTTTAATGCTATTCTTACACCTGCAAGTCTGCGAGAGCTAGCTAGTATCGTTAGTTGAGAGACGTGAAGGAAGATTAGAAGGTAATGATGGGGGGGGGGGGTGGATAGCAGTCTGAGGAAACTTGAGTGCTGACAGAGTTGTGAGGGCGGTTGACACTTCCCGGCTGCCCACACCGTGGAAGGCTATTTCTTCTTAAGGTGTCTGAAAGAGATTTGTGTGACCGCAGAGCCCATCGGACATCTGCTTGAGGCCTGTCACACGCAGTATGATTATTTCGAACTTTTGTATTTTTGGGGCCGACCTTAACTACCCCCTCCCTTTTACTGAGAAGGCAGCACCAGCATGGTGTGGTTGGTCATCCCAGGGAAACACCTTACTGCAGTTACACCCCATCCAGCTAGCAGCAGTACGACTTCGTCCTCAGACTCCCATCATAATGTAGTAATTTACACCTTAAGGGTAACTGCTTTTCGTCTATGCATTATCCAACAGACCTTTGTGGTATGGTAGGACCTCGAGGTAACAAGTGCTTCACCAGCATAGCTCGTTGGGTCATTGTGATATGCAAGCCCGACCATCAGGTCAAGGTAGCAGCTATCGGTCGTAAGGTGATTGTCATTCAGTTTTTTAACGAAAGACTATACTGCACTTGTCAAAATTTATTCAATTGCGTTGTACATATTTCAGTTTCGTACGATATGATACTTTTCATTTCCTGCTGTAAACGGTTTCATTGAGTGCTCTATTAGATAGTTTGGTTATTAGCTTATTGAAAGTAATTAGAGTGGTAGTAAATAAATATAGATACTGACAAATAAATTTCATAATGAAAGCTACAAACCATAATGTTTCAGACAATATTATGAATAGTTTACACAGTATTCTTAATATCTCCAGTATAATCGATGTGACGGAGCAAAGACGTTCAATAGTGGCTAAAATAGTTAGTATGTAGACTTTAATTTCACATAATACACAGTAGACGTATATTCTGACGTGTTCTGCGCATATGATCGCATTCAGCTCCTGCAGTTTCTGTTTATGTGTGTCCAAGTTTAGAGGGGTGCACTTTTTGATGATGTGTCTTATGTAATAATGAGATGACAGGGAATTAAATTTATACATTTCTGAAATTATTTGCGATTTCAACGCAATTTCATGTATAAATATATTTATTAATCTGTTTACAATAGGTAGTATGGCGTTTTGACGAATTATTGTACAGAATAGTTCATAGTAAGAATTAATTATACCTGTTACTTGTTTTCCTATTCTATGTGTTGTTTGATAAAGTTTACTGTTCATGTGTTGTAGCATGGTTGTAAACCTTTGAAATAATGATTTCATAATGAGGGAAACTATGTTATACACGAATAATATTATTTGATTTATATAGTCTATTTGTCTATGATAATAAGGAAAATTTAGGGCTTGGCCTTCATGTGATTCCCTTACATTGTAATTTATTCTTTCCATTCTTCGACTATGGAAATGAAGGTAATGCTTACTATGAAAATTTTATATCCTTCATAGGTTCATTCTTCTAGCTTTTATTCGATGGATTTGAGTATTTTACGTTTTCATTTCATGTTTTCTCTAGCTTCATCTGTATGCATTTAGAGTCCTTATTTGATTAGATCTGAAAATTCTCGCCTTTGCGTGTAATACATACAGTCGGCCGACTATCTTAATGCACAACAACATGACGATATTCAAATGCATTCCAATTACCAATAAATCGATATATATATATATATATATATATATATATATATATATATATATATATATATATATATATAGTAGCGTCCATCATGGACTGTCATAAGTTGGACACCCAGTGAAAACCTGGAAAGTCATTCCGTCCTAGTACGGGACTCTTCAACAATACGCACCCATGACTCGACTGGGGATCGAACTCAGGCTCCACGGCGAACACTTAAACTACTCAAACACTGGGTTGGAGTCCAATGGTCCACAGTTTCCCATTTCTGTTGACTCGCGATGTAGCGCAGCTATACTTACTCAAGGTTTTCAGTTGGCATCTGCTTCACTTCTGGCTAGTTGATTTGACACGGCTTCTCATTGGAACTTCGGGATATTCATCTGGAAGCGTTTCACTAATGAGTATTATACAGTAATGTATGTTGAGGTTAATAAGGACTTTATGTTTAAGGTGGCATGCATCACCGACTGACACCAGTTGGAGAACCACTGCAGACCTGGAGCAATGGACATCTATTTCGTCCTAGTATGGGACTTTTCAGCAGCACACACTCATGACCCGACTAGAGATCAAACTCAGAACCCGTTAACCCTATGCATAAAATGCCCGCTAATCTTTATATATATACATATGTCGTTTATCACTTCATTTCCTTATTCCACCTCGAATTTATGTTTCTTTATTCTCACTTTCCTAAATTGATTACCGATCCAGCAGAAAAGATGCAATTAAAGTCTAGCAATGTAATCAGAATCTCTTTTGCTCAAAGATGTTCATAATCTCTATTCTTATTTAGCTTCATAATTAGCGTACTTATTGAAGTTTCCCTCTCCTCTTTTGTTGAAATCACAGGAATTTAGCTTGTTGCAAGGATCTTTTTCGACAAAATGTAGAGTCCACTCCTCACATTTACCAATAATTATATATGTTTCTCCGAATCTCGTCTGTTTTGTTGCACCTTTGAACAATAGGTGATGAAGCGGTTGCCTGTGTTTACCACTTCACCTACCTGAGAAGTCAGATCATTTCTGATAGGCCAGTGATCGACGAAATCTGTGCACATGTAATCAAGATTCTAATAGGATTGAAATTTTTCAGTGCACAATAATAGTAAATCTTCCAGAAAAGTAAGAGGGTAAGAAATATGAGACTGTTTGGAGAAATATAGTCTTGAAAACTGTCAACTGTTCTTATCAGTGGTAAATTACTAAATAAAGAATTGACATCGAAGGATTACATAGTCTTATCCTTGATATTAATATCACTTGACTGGCCAATGAGATCAAATGTATCTTTTCATGAGAACTCAAACATTTTGCTAAACATTTAACCAGATCATATGTGGGTGACCGACACAGACGATATTCGACGTAGCGGATAGTTTAGGTGTATTTGTTTTCGGTAAGCCAAATAAGTGTGGACGTTCAAATCTCCTAAGTTTTCATCCTTATCAAACTTATATTGAGCATTTTGATCAGCTTAGGGTTTTCTCTTCCTTCCAGTTTACGTTTCCCTTCAGCGAGAACATCTGCCATAAATTTGCTTTCATCACTAAGAGTGGATAACATCTTACTTTTATAATCAAAGGTGCTCACGCTTGATTCCTTATCTCCTTTGAGCATAAAGGTGTCAGAATTATTTTGTAATCCTTTCAGCGCTTTCATATGCTCATGGGCTAAGATTCTTTTCTGTCTTGGACAGAGCTGATGAAACTAATGAGCGATATCTAATTTAGATCAGCCGATTCTGATTGTCTGAAGGAGTTCACACGCAAAGGATGTTACGTTATGTCGAAATCGTTTAGTCACTACTACTTTCAAAGGCAATGTTCATTGTCGTATGATAGCAAAGAGCAAATTGCCTTGCAGTACACTTCATTCGATCTATTGTACGCACCAGCAACACGGAACTCTGGCAGCGAACCAACCAAGAACCCATCGCCCAACAAATATGCAGAAGAAAGTAGAGATGTATTGGACTGGACATACACTGAGAAGACCGTTCAGGAACATCACGCGCCAGGCCCTCGAGTGGAACGCAGTTATAGGAAACGATGAGTTGGGTATCCGAGGGTGACATGTAGGAGATCATGTGAGGAAGAAATGAAAGTTTATGGGGCAGTCGTGGAGCCAGGTTAAGGAGACTGCAGACGGTAGAATGAAATGGCGACGTGTTACTAAAGCCCTATTTTCCACTAAGAACCTAAGGGACAAATAATAACGCACCAGTTCTGAATCATCATCGTACCATAAATACTCATATTTCTTCAAGTTGGTACTCATCGTGGACTGACATCAGTTCGAGAAAAATTGGAAACCCGGGAGCACTGAGCACTTATTTCGGCGTAGTACGGGAATCCTCAGCAGTGCGCACCCATGACCCCGTCAGGGATCGAACCCGTGACTTTCGGGTTCCGTGACCTGCACGTCACCACTGAGCCACGAGGTCGTAACCTAACTTTTGTCAGTTTACGACATAGCGCGACCGCAACCTAGTTTCATGGTTGAGTATTTGAAACTCATGGTTAGTGAGGCTTAGTAGACATCAGAAAGTGAATACACCTACGATACTGTGGTTGATTTTTAGTCGTCACTTAGGCTTTCCAACCATCGATTCCTGTCATCTCACGAACCAACCAGAGTCTACACCTGTCTAAATGGCTGAGATCCACAGTCTCCGACTTCACGGACTGATGACACATCTTTGTTTGGTTTTCTCTAGCTCCCTTCTAACCTGATCCTGTCTTCGCTAACATTACATCGAGGTAGGTATTGGGTTGGCTTGAGAAACACATCCGAGTTGCCTCTAACAGAAGGTTCACATCATTATTGACTGACTTACTTTCCTCCTTGTCTAATACATTCCGCCTGACCTCCACATTACTGAAATGGTGATTTCACCTTAAATGGGCAATGATGCGAAGACACCCGTATTCTCTTCAAATTTATTTTTCACGGTTATGTCTCACAGACGTATAGTGGAACAGTTCCAACTGCAGGGCAGTATACTCGTCCTTTGACATGTAATTCAATATCTCGTGCTAAATAGCTCTTTGGTATCTGAGCTTAAATTTCGTCAGCGACCATGCCGTTCGAGCTGGTGTAGCTCTCGAATTAAGTGAAGTAGTCAATGCACTTTACTCCCTCTCCTTAAACGGGAAGTAGTCGCAGATCAGTCCTGAAGAATCATCTTATCTTTGATAGATGCCAAAGGCATGGCAAGCATACTCAAATTTCTGCTCATAGCATTCAGAAGACCTTGCATTCTTTTCAATGTCTTTGACTAACAGGCTAATGTCGTTTGTGTACTCCGTTTCTGCCGGATGCCTTTCAGAGAGTATATCAATCTCTGTGAAGTTAGAGGTACCAAAGTTTATGTTCATCATTACATCTGTATCGAAGTTGAACGGGAACAGTGACAGTGGGCATATCACTGGTTATTGTTAATTAAGATGACTACTCTCCATAGCCTCTAATATGGCCATATGCGTTCGAGGAGAGAGCTTTGATTAGCGTTACACACTTTCTCGTTACTCCTCTTACAGTCAGATGCTGTCACAATACCACTGTTGATATAGTCAAATATCACCTTCAGATCATGGCAATTATGTTATGATATGGGATACATCAGATGTCTTTCAGTTGGCTCAGTCTCCGTACGTGGGCGTTATAGCTTACGACTTACCAATACTAGGTGGTTTATGTAGCAAAATTGTCAGCTTCTGGTAGACTTCATCCTTTTTATTATCCGAATTGTAGGCGTAAAGACGAAGATTACGAATATGAATCATTAGATATCCGGATCCTATGGGTTCATGCAGTCAAACACCACACAGTCGGATATCAAGTGATATCCCGATGAGAAGTGCACTTACCGTTTTACTATCCAAAGATTTGCGTATTTCAGGAAGTCATGGAGAACTGGCTGCTGAATACCAGACATTTGTGAAGTAATTTCTCCAGATTTATTACGATGGCTACATGAGGCCAAATAAATGACCACACTTAGGTCATTTACGCATAATCTCAGAAATACAACAAAAATCCATGACTGGAGATCCCAGAGTTTCGGGAAGAAACAACCGTTGTTAGATTCGGGATAGGTTCCGCACGTTGGAGGTTCCATTGGGAAATCGACATAGTGGTTTTTGGAGTCTAGGAGTAGTGATGGCTTAGATAGTAAGCAATGGTCATAGGATGAGGGGCTTAAGCAACTAAAGGCGGTTTAATATTGGTATAAGTGAAACAAAATGAGGGAGACAGACAAACTGGAGGTAGGTTATGTTTGGTCCCGTTTTATTTATTCCCTAAAGCATTTCCAAAGTTGGCTATGAGTTTAGGAGGATATTTAGCAGTGGTGTTAGGCACTATTATAAACTGTGAACCATCAAGGCCTATTAATTCTTATGAAATAAATTAACGATTAGACGAAATGCAATTAGAAGACCATTAAAAAGTGGTTAGCTTTGGTGTAAATAGCATCTGAAGTAATATGGCTCTGAGGCATTTAGAAATGAACTCAAGTGACCAGCAGCTCATACTTAGAACCAGGGTATCGGTGGAAGAACTTATTCTAGTGGTACAATTATGCGTAGCCTTTACTGTCTACACGTTTCACAATAAAATATGAAAACAGACAGAAGAAGTAACCGTGTGGTCGCCAATATCTTCGATTTTAGCAAACGTACTCATGGACATTTAGGAACGTATTTCCTCAGAGTCACTTAACCCTACTTCCAAAGTTTGACAGAATATGTGTACGACACGCTTAGTGTTGAAATCAACACACGCCGATACATTTCTTATACATATGAACTCAATTGTTGATCCAATCCAATTTACACGTGAACTAGAAAGTGACGAAGGAGAACTATGTTGGACTGGAAAATCAGAAGGGGAAACGGAGATTTATGCACTACAGTCTAAAAAAGCCTACTTTCGGTAATCTCATTTAGGTAACAGGGTGAGAAGAGTGACTAGTAAGACAGAAA